GCGGAACCCTTCTGGCGCCCGTGGGTAGACAGGTTACGGGCAGAGTGACCCCCGTCTACCGCGTTGGGGCGCTCGCAAGCCCTGACGCTTAAGGCCCTGGGCTAGGACCCGGAGAGAGGGTGGGACCGGGTCCCCCTTCCTCCACCAGAGAAGCATCCAGCTCCAAGCAACGCCGGCGTAGGCGGACGATTGAACCGAGCCCCCCACCCCCGGAAAAGGGGGTCGGGCTAAGGGGCGCGAGCCCCCCCCCGCAGGGACGGGTAACAATTACGGGGTCCGCAGACCCCCCCTCCTTTCAGGGAGGGGGGTAATCGCACCTGATTGCCCGGGCTTCCGGCCAGGGGCCCGGCGGTGAGACAAACCGAAGGGGGCACAGGGGTCCGCCGAACCCCCCTCGAGCTGGGAGGGGGTAATCGCACCCTGAACCCCCCACAATGGGATTCTACTATCTGAACAGACCCATGAAAGCAGAAGTCTGAATATGGAAACAGTTCTTGCAGTATGGTCAGAAAGTAAAAGTCAACAAACTGCTCTAGTGAATGTGCTGCCCTTGATCACTTACAATATCTTGGAGTGGCCCCCATCAAAAATTATTGCCCACCCCTGATTTAGATAGTGCTTGGTCCTGCCGTGAGGGCAGACGATTGACCTCTTGAGGTCCTATCCAGTATGTGTACAGGAGAGGAAAAAATCTGCCTTCTATTATTATAGGTAGGACAAATTTGACACCATTAGGCTACGTTTTACTCACTTGTTCCCTTAAGTCTTGTGTGTGTTTTTCAATGCTATTTTCACGCTCTGTTGACTCTTGGAGTAGTTGTTTAAGATCAGTAATGCTTTGATTTTTTTTGGCAATATCAGTTTCCAGTTCTTTCATCTTAGTTTCATACATCCTGAAAATATGAAAGAAAATTAAAGCCATTCTGAAAATATTTTCTAGACTAGGAACAGTATTTTTCCCCATCCTGCAAACCTGGCGCACAGTCCCAAAGGACTAGAGTAAAAACCAACTTTTTAAAAAACAGAGATGGTAAACCCTAGTAAAAAAGACCAGTTCTGCAAATGGTATTCTTCAAGATGTTGCTCATGTCCATTCATGCCCACAGCATATATGCACCCATGCAACTGTTAAGATTTTTAGCGGCTACACAGTTACTGTATTAAACACTTTTTAAAACATCCATAGGCTGAACCCACCATAAAAAGAAGGATGTGACCAGGGGCAGATGACCGTTTTGCGGGGCCCCGGGCAGCATAATTCCATGGGGCCCCCCTTTGCCACGGTGCATGCGCGGGGCTTTCTGAAGCGCGGGGCCCGGGGCAGCCGCCCCGTTTGCCGTGCCCTATATCCGCCCCTGGATGTGACTTTGCCCTGGGAAGACTGACACATGGAAGTATGTGTCTTTCAGATCAAGGATGGCATGCATACCAGTCTCCTGGATCCAAGGAGACCATACAAAACTTTAGCGTCTGTAGGTACTTGTTGAGATCTTGAAGGTCTAGAATGGGATGTAGACCACCCTTGGAATAAAAAAATAGCAGGAATAAAACCCCTTATTCCCATATGGAGATGTAACCTCCTCCACCACCATCAGCTGCAGGAGCCCCTGAATTTGCTATATGAGAAGGTGCTTGTGAGAAGAGTCACTTTTAAGAGACATGGGGAGGTGATATGGGGTAGTGGAAATAAACTGATGAGTGTAGCTGTAAAGACCCAGCCATTTGAAATTATTGCTGATCACACCAGGAGGAAATGAGAAAGTCAACTGCCAAAAACTGGAAAAGTGGATTCAGGGAAAGGTCTGGTGTGTTCAGGCATAACCTCAAAACAACTTTTTAGCCTCTAGCTTGGGGTGGGCCGAGCCTGACTCACCGGAAGCAGGGAAAGGGAGGTTTGAGCAACCTTTAGGCAGAGGAGTCAGAGGAGCAAGCGGACGGACTCCCTGTTTGATATTCTCTCCTCCATAGCCCCTGGTAGGAACACTCTTCTCCTTCATGAAAGGCTGTCAAAAATTACCAATGTCTTGTGGCAAACCCCCTCCTCTCCGCCACCCATTTCCAAATGGGCAGAGTGGAAGTACTTGGTCCCAACCAATGGCCATGAATAACTTTATTCCCGCCCTCTCCCGAACTCCTTGGTGGTTGAGGGGGTCAACCAGAGGCAATGCCAAGGTCAACACAGAACTCTAGGGCTTTTTGTGCAGCAGATCCTGCTGAGGCCAACTTCTTTGTCCCTGAGCTGGTTGCAGTTTAAACTACATGCTCTGACCTCCGATGGGACTAATACACTCTAACTACTACTAAGGTTCTAACAGCAGTAACTATTTACAGCAGTGTTTCTTAAACGATGTGCTGCAGAGAACAACAGAATTCAAAATGGCAGGCGACTATTAGGGGCAGGCGACATTTTTCACCCCAACCCTTTTCCTTTAAACCCCCCCCCCTTTTTTTGGTAAACAAAAAAGTCTTGGTATTCCCATAAAAAAAATATTGTTTGGTGTTCCTTGGTCTTAAAAAGTTTAAGAAACACTGATTTACAGCAACTTTACTAAGTTTCTCTGAATGAAGTCTAAGCAACACTAGAGCAGCGAATATTCTATTGGTGGCAAGAAGGAACTGAGGGTGGGTCACCGGAGCCACTCCTCTATGGATTCTGCTAAGGGAAAACTTTCCTGTGGCAAGCACACAACTAATATGGAATGAACATGAGCAAGCACTCAAAAAAGAATTTCATTGTACGTGTGTGTGTGTGTGTGTGTGTGTGAGTGAGAGAGAGAGAGAGAGAGGTGAACATTTAGAATTTGTCTTCATGTGGAATGAGAGGTGTGATTCACAGCTTGAGACATACTTGTATCATGCTGTGATTGAACTAGCATGCTAAAATCAGAATGTAGCTAAGCAACAAAGGCAAGACAGGCTAACCACACTAAGTATGAACTCATGATCTCAAATGGATACTTACATAAGGTGCACCCATCCCCTTGTCTGTACAGCCACAATTACACTCTTATTTTTAACCCTTTAGCTTAACGAAAGCTAGGACAAGTATGTCTCCTTGATCTGGGAATCACACCTCCATTTCCACATGTAGACATACCTGTAATGTTTTAGAGTTCTAGAACAGAGAAACTTATTTAGATTGATTCTCAAAGTTTTGGGAAAACAACAACTCTGTTTGTAAATATCTTGTACAGAGTATAAGAATGGGTGTTTGCTTTCATTTTCAAAGGGACAGAAACACAATATGTAACAGTTTATATGAAACTGATCAACCATAAATTGCTAGAATAAGAGTAAATCTAGTATCAACGCATAGCTAGGAGACAAGATCCACAAGCAACACGCATTAAGTCAATAGACTGTAAAAGAATGAAAGTTACATGAATAGTAACAGTTACACTGTTGAAAAAATTAATGTAATTTACTACAGTATGCAGGAAACAAACTTTCCTTCAATAGTAGTTAGGAAAGTGTTCATAATTACGCATTTCTTCTGGGCAAATATATTTATTGTGGCTAACGCAAAGGGAATTTGATGCCTTAGAGATCAGAGTAACTCTTTTCTATCTCCTAGAGGTGGAAGAATTGTCTGGCTCCAGGCACAACCGTTCACTAAAATTATAATATCTGGGAAAGATGGGCAGAATGGTCTATGTTCTATGTATATCACCTTCTATCCTCTCAAAATACTTGGTAGGTTGCAGAGGTTCATTTACCATCATACTCCTGATGTGGGGAAGGAACTCCTTCCTCCTCTTGTGGAGATGTAATTTTGAAGCAGCACAGCCCCTCTCTCTATACCTCTTCCCATTGACCACCACCACTTTCAGACTGCTATTAACAAGGCAAAGTAAGAAATTCGGGTCAGAGTTTTCAACACTGCTCAAGGTGACCATTGTTTGATCAGCTGTGGAGGTATTTGCCTTCATGGTAGGATGCTAAGGGGTATGCTTACTATGCTCAGTAAATACTCTACGATTTTTCTTCAAAGTCCAATTACAACATTCTGTACTAGCATAGGGCAGAATCTGAAATAGCATAACAATCTAGTATTTTGCAGCTGTAAGGACAGGTTCATTCTCAGAATGTGAAACAGGTTCTGGAGCAGCAGAGACCAATGGATTTCTGGGCAAATGACTGAGGAGGCTACATGTCTTCTGGATTTGAGTTAAAAGTTTGCACACTCAACATATATAATATAGTAAATTCACCAGCAATTGCTATGGGGTCTGTAAGAAATGCTTTAAAAAGGAGCTGAAAATTATGATCATAAAAGTATCAGTCATTTAAAAATAATTAAGAAAGGCAAAATGATGTTTTCTGTTTTATTCTCAGTTCCTACCTTGTTACAACAATTGATTTCCAGCTTTTGCTGTCAGCTCCTTCAAGTTGTGGACCTCTGCTTTCAGCTAAGTTTAACCTCTTAACAGTCTCTTTCAGCTCCACTGTCAATTTCTCATTCATTATTTCTATGTTATTCTTTGCTATTCGTAGTTTCTCTGCAGCATCAGCCTCCTGTAGTCCAATGAGACAAAAATTATATACATTGTGGCAAAGTGCCTTCATACTTCTTTTATCTTATCCAAAACACAGAACCTCACACAGCACTGAACACTATAAAATTACACTCAGAAATTGGGTCAGTACTGGTTCAGAAGGAAGAGTGCTACATACTAGATCATAAACACTATTTCTAAGACACTGACCTTACTCAATTCTGCTTTGCCTTTGTGATATAATAGGACTACAGCACAAATTGGTTCAATATCAGGAATATAATTAATTCTATTTTATGTATTTAGGGAAATCATCAAAATAGTATCTGTGTGTGTACAGTATGAGACAAGTATAAATTCAATATATTTAATTTGGCTAGAAGTATAAGAAAAGATGCTTAATATAAGAAACAATTTGTTCAAATAGCTGGATGCTATCTTATAACCTTACTTTTTTCAGCTCTTTACGCAGCCTCTCATTCTCAGCAACGATCTTTTCCATGCCTCTGGTTTTTGATTCATAACGCATACTCAGCTGACCACCCAGGTGAAGTTTCAGTTTTTCCATTTCAGACTGAGTATTAAACAAAACAAAAACAGAAATATGTATTTACACAACTTATTAGAATCTTTCAAGTTCTCATTTTGAATGTACAGTAAATTGATATGCAGGCCCCAATTCAAAGCACTTTTGCACATGTGTAAGTCTGTACCTCAAATATATAAAAAGATACTTTGAATATAAAAATTAACCTTAGAAAATGATCCCTATGTCACATTAAACCTGCATGAATCCACATTTTGCTTTAGAATTTCTCATAAAATTATGAGATTGAAATAATATGAAATATCGATTTTGTTTGGTGGGGCTAGGACATTGTAGATGAATGTCGTTAAACTATTACAGTATAGTGAATATGTAAAACTTTGATTCTGTGTATTACAAAGTTCACATTTGTGATTTCTTTTAAACAGAAGTAAATTTTTGTGCCAAATGATGTCAATAGGTTTGATTATATATACTACTGAAATTATTTATATTTTAGGTGACATACTACACTAGGTTAATACTTGGTAAAATCAGTTTTTCTAATTAATGTTCATATAAGTTGCTACACAAAAACCAACGAATGATAAATCAGTACCTTTAGCCTCTCATTTTCAAGTTCAAGGCTAACTAGTTTCTCATTAGAGACAATTCCTGGGGCCTTTTTCAGATCTTCATTTTCTCTCTGGACTTTCTCTACAACCTTTTTCATCAAACCAATGGTCTTTTCTAATTCTGGAACTGTCTTTCCACTTCTACCAGACTACACAGAAAAGACAGAGGAAAAAGCAAAAAGCATAATGAATTAAATTCTTAAAACTTTAAGTCCCATATCTTTTTTTTTATCTATTATTATTGCTTTGTGGTAAACACACAAATTGTGTGAGGCAGTGCCACCTGGTGCAGATAGAGTCTATTTGGGCCCCTAAAACTCTGAGATGGAGTTAGGGTAGATTTCTCCACATTGGGCACCAGGCGTACATGTCTTGGTATAAATATCATACTTTTGGTTTCACAAGTGGTCAGCAATGAAGAAGTGCTGTGTCTGTTGTGGTACTGGTTTTCTGGGTTGTAAGGAATGAAGAAAAGTGTATTTCACGTCATTATGCTTTCAGTGTACTTGTACGAGTGTATGGTGAGGAGGGAATCGAAGACTACGCCAATCAGTAAAATGGAGCTTCAGTTTATCTCAAGCCTACATATATAGTATAATTAAAAATAACTTCTCTATCAACAGGTTCCATTGTCTAACATTTCAAGACATTTAAATACTATCTTTTAAGTCCTAATCCAATTGGTTAGCTCCACTAATAGATTTTTACATAAATTACTAAATATCATTTTGCATACATTTATGGCAAATTCTCATATTAGCAAAGAGATATTTTTGATTAACTGTTGTTAATTCATATGGCAGGATGCAAAGATGTAAGTATGTGAGAAACTTTACTAACTGTAATAGTCAATTGATGAGTATCTTGGTTCTTTGATTAAAATAGCGATATAATACAATAAGGAGAGGTAACTAAGTGTCCAAAAAATAATTTTACCCATATTTTGCTTGATGGTACACATTTTAGCTGTAATAAAATCTTGCTATTAATCATGCATTTAAATCATTTAATTATTCTGAGAAACACAGTAGCATTACTCACCCCTCTAACACTGCCTAGTTTGCGCTCGACTTCTGCTTTCTCTCTTTTGAGAAGCTCACACATTTCTTTCAAGTCACCTACTTGATCCTAAAGAATACAAATAACCACCATCTTATTTAGACTTTACTCAATTAACAGATGAATGTAAACATGTTTTACAACTTCTGTTAGTTTATTTTGAAAAACATGGAACAAAATCCCCCCAAAGTTCCCCTTTGCTATATAATTTTTCATCATGTGCTACCAACCACCCAGTTTATAAAACATCTGCCCTCTAAATTTGCCTCCATATTTTATTCTATACTAGAAACATGGGGTTGGTATGCTGTGGAACTTACATACTAAGTGCATTGTAAAGATCTTAAAACCCAAACAAAAAAATTAGAGATTATGTGAGAGTTATGTTTATTTTCTCACAGTCCAGGATACATCACAATCTAGCTCCAAATGATATCATAGGAATAAAAAACAAAAAAACCCAACAAACACCTTTTCTGATTTTTTTCCCAAATTTCCCTGGAAAACTTTACCCTAGTATAACAGATGTCAATCTGAAATTGGATTGTGGTTTTTGGAGACAGGAATGGGGGTAGTGGGACAGAAACTGGAGAAAGGTCAGTTTGAAAACAGGGACTTTAAAGAGAATTTGGTTACAGCTATACTGTAGAAAAAACTACCAGATCACTCTATAGTTTGTAATATACAGGGACACATTTTAAAAGGGACCCCCAACCAGCACAATGGGGGCACATCTACACAGCAGGGCTAAGCCAAAATAAGCTACGCAACTTAAAGCTATGCAATTGACGAAGCTCAAGTCAAAATAGCTTTTGGCGCTGTCTACATAGCAGCAAGTCAGAGAAAGAGCACTCTTCCTCCAACTTTCCTTACTCCTTGTAAAATGAGGATTACAGGAGTCGGAGTAAGAAGTCCTCCAGCTTGACATTATTTTGACATTATGTTGAAATAACTGCTTGTAATGTAAATGTAGATTGTTATTTCTGAATAATGTTAGTTTGAAATAATGCTGATGTGTAGACAGCCTAAATTATTATGTTTTTTAGGGTTTGCAAACACTTACGTATGCTAAACTGTAGATACATATTTAGGTCCCTACAATGAGCCCTAGCTGGGCAGGACTCAATGCATATGCACAACTCTATTAACTTTAAAGTGTCTCACTGTGGGTACAGCGTTTCACCTTTTGGTACTCATTGCAGGACTGGGGCTTTGGATCCCTAAGCTGTATGTACTTACAAGAGTAGGCCTTGGAGATGGCTTTTGAAATCTGCCCCCTTATAATTTTCTGTATATTCACGTCAAATATATATAGCATGTGTGGAATATATATTAAGGATGTTAGAAATCACTTAGCAGTTACACAATTCCTCGGTGCTTCCTCCTGGGGGCGGGCCAGCAGCTAGTGTGCTCGTGGCCCCGGGAAGCTCCCTACCACCTGGCGGTGATTTCTGTCTCTGATACAGAGGCAGCAGCATGAGGCAGCAGGTTTAAAAACTGGCTCCCTGCATGGAT